GAAAAATATGGTAATATGGCTTGAAATCAACATAAACTCAATCAACATCACTTTTTTGGGGGAGGGGTGTTGTTGATGGTGGAATAATTAAGGAGAAAATTTGATGTTCTAATCATCTTAACATTGCAGGGTTTTAAAGGTACACATTTTATTTCTTAAGACTCCCATTCCCCCCAAAACAGTACCAGTTTTTGTACATGGATCTTCATATGTTCATAAAGCCTGATATTGCTCTCAAGACAATGGAAAGTCCTCTTGGCCATGGGCAAGACAAGACTGTCTGGATTTCTTTTGGGGGCCTGTGGAAAGAAGGCAGCTGGTTACAGTAGCTCTACTGTGTTGTTTTCTTTGCATTCTGTTATTTTTTGGGTTAAGGTATACGTTTATCATGGACTGAAAAAGAATGATTGATCTTTTTAAGAAATCTGCTGTTTGAACAGGGACAGAAAGGCTCTCAGGACACAAGGCTGTCCTGGTCTGAGATTCCAGCTTGAGGTTAGCAGTAGGTTATGTGAATGGCCACACCACTTTAACAGAATTTCTCCTCTGTTTTCTGTTTGTTTTTAAGGAAATGTTGTTGGAAAGAAAAATTTTGTGTCACCCATCATATATGGAAAGTAAATAGATTATCTTCTCCTGTCAAACCCCTTGGTTGCTTCTCACAATCAAGGAGGCAAGATTCTCTTAAGTTTCTTTAGTCAGATGCATTGCAAGGATAGTTGCAGTACTGAATCATGGAAATGGGATGTAGACTTTAGCCCCTATTTATCAAAGAGTATATTAGAATGGGGTGACTTTGTACCTTTAATCCTCTTCCTAAGTGTCTTGTATTAGTTATAGCTATAATTATAAGTGTTATAGTTGCGTGATAAAGAGGAATAAGTCTATATCTGTTCTAATTCTACAATTTTTTACAAGATAATATTTTTTTACTCGAAAGAAAGACCAAGCTGGATCAGACATGTGTTCTATTAATGAATCAGACCTACACACTGTCCACTAGTGTATCCCAGAAACAAGCTGGCACTTCTGATCAGTAGGATTACCTAGCCATGTCTCTCTCCTTTCATTAATAGGATGGAGGCATATGAATCTACGACTTACATTTCCTCTCCCGAAAAGAAAATACATGGTAGCTAGGATCTGGAATATGGCAGGCACCCTCCAGAACAAATAAAGAGGAAGAAGCCTAATACACATGAGATCAGCAGTGCAGCTGCTATTGGCAGCCAGTAATCTGCCTCTCATCATCATGGAAAGAAGTAGAATATTTGATCTCATTGAACATATTCCATAAGATCGATATTGCCTGTATTGGAGGGGAAATGGTTGGGTTAGTTGAGAATGCAGATGTCACCAAATTTTGTTGTTCTGCAAATATTTTAATTAGTGGGTTTTTTTAAAAAAAAAATTGGTATCTTTTTAACATATTCACTGCAGATCATGGGATGTAAAACAAGCAGTTGGCAATGTGTACAGACCCCATAAAGAAGTTAAGAATGTGTGAATATGGGAAATCAGAGATCCAACTAGAAAATCTTTAGCTACAAAATTAATTCTTGATAGTACTGCTCATGAAGTCAACATTAGAAAGTTATTCCCAGGATTGAAATTTTGAGGTCAACTAAGGGAAAGTGGAAAATTGCCACAGTAAAATTAAAGAAATATGATAATTTTTCTCATTCATCATCATAATGGCATTTTCCAGATAAAGTAGTTGCAATTTAGAACTGTCAATTATTACTGTTTCCAATGAAATCAAGTGAACTAAAATGTTCAATTCAATATTTAAGGTAAATTTGGTTGAGAATGAGTTGTCACTTCCATTCATGTCAATAGAATTTAGTTGTTTGTTGTGATGGATGTTTAGGGTACATGCCTTGAAAATCAACAGGCATCAAACAGTAGGAATATAGATAAAAAACTTAACTGAACCTCTCAATTGTTATAACTGTTCCAAAATGAGAACACATGACCTTCAGTATCTCCTCCTATGTTTTTATGCTATATAAATAAACAATTCAGAATATTGAACTACAACTACAACTACAAGTTGACTTGGCAAGGAATTTTTTTGCAATTTCCAAGGATGTCAATGAAAGAAAGTGGCACAAAAGCTAATATCCATCTAATTTTCCAAAATTGTTTAACACAGCAACATAGGATGAAAAAAGAGCTCAATTTGACAGTGCATATAATTTATATTGCAGATCAAGTTTTTACATTATACACTAGGCTTCACTGGAGCATGAACAATACATTTCAAGGTTATTCATTTATCCTTGTCAAGATATTTTGGAAGTTGCCACCCTGAATCTTATCTATTTGATTAGGGTATCCATGATCACATGCTGGCAATGCATGGAGCTATTTCTTCTTTGATCATAATTGCTATGGATCTGCTATGAAGTATCAAACGAAAAACTAAGATTTATACACACACACACACACACACACACATATATATATATATATCAGATCAGACTGGATCACCTGATCCAGTAGCAATCTTGGCTGCTGTTCGGCGATCTACCCGGCCAGGTGTGTTTTTTACCTTCTGCGCATGCGCAGAAGGTTTTGCACATGCGCAGAAGGTCTGCATGCATCTGTGACGTGCGCGCAAGTGAAGTAATTCCAAACTGGTAACGAAGGTAAGTAGATTTCATCCCTGATATATAGATAGATAGATAGATAAATAGACAGATAAATATAGATATAGATGATATAGATATAGATATAGATAAATAGATATAGATATAGATAGATATAGATATATAGATGATATAGATAAAAATAAATATAGATACAGATACAGATACAGATACAGATACAGATACAGATACAGATATAGATACAGGAAGGGAGGGAGGGAGAGAGAGAGAGAGAATATATATATATATATATATATATATATATATATATATGTATGTATGTATGTATGTATGTGTATGTATGTATGTATGTATGTATGTATGTATGTATGTATATATATATATGTATGTATATAACAATCCTTTGATTATTTTGGCATCTCTATTTCCCAAGTTTAAAAAAGAGGAAAGAAAGAGGAAAATGGGGAAAATAATTAATTAAAAAAAGGAACTATCCAAACTACAAGTCTTCTAATCCTACATTCCACATTATAAAAGAAAAAAAGAAAATAGGAGGAGGGGGAGTTGCAAGTGGAATGAATGTTCAATGACATGCTGGCTGGGGAGTTCTGACTATTTCAGAAGGGAAGTTAAAAGTATGAATCAACTTTTGAAATTATCTGCCTCCATATTGCTTGTTATGGTACTTTTTCACAGCAAAAACGTACCATCTTCTCTTGGCATAAAGATCTGATAAGACTTAATGTGACAAAACAAAAGCTGCATACTAATGTGATGAAAGCCAGGATTTATTGGAAGGGGTTCAGAAATTTTAGGGTTAAGGTATCCATTTTACCACTTTAAATTCCTTATTCTGAAAACTGAAATTCCTGTCTCTATAAATTCTTGGAAATGAAAAAAGGGATGCCTGCCTCTCCTCTCCTCTCCTCTCCTCTCCTCTCCTCTCCTCTCCCCTGTTCTTTCCATTTTGCTGCCTGCTCCTTCCCTTTCAGAATTTTTTACTTTCCTCCTACATTTCTTGCTAATTAACATGTGAGAAATTGAGTCAGAGTATCCTTCAAACCAAAGTTCAATTCTCAGTCTCAGCTCTCTATGTGGAATAGAATCTGTTTCATATTTAATGCTGTTTGGTTTCTGCTTTGTCAACTTTAAACATAAATTAATATGCTAGTACTATTGTCACAGTCACATTAATTTGAAAGAACCAATCATCATGTAACTGAAAGAATTTGGCAGAGCATTCCTGCAAGTCACTCTACTTAGCACATGGATCTCTGAGGATGTCCAGTATGGAGAAGGCTAAAAGTCAGGGGGGAGATAAGGAAGCAGTCCATAGAAAATATGATAACTCTAAACAGAACTTCTGAACAATAATGATTATTCCTTGAGGCAGAGGCTGGCAAGGAGAATAAAATAAAAGATTCACAATCAGACATTGGGTGAACTTCTGAGTGGCAGGATGAGACAGTGGCAGGATGAGACACCTTTGACTAACACTGTAGATGATGCCAAGAAACTAGCTGGTAGTCAGGTATCAACCCATGCAAGGATAATACAAAACTTAATTATTTAGAAGTAAAATTGGTACTTCCAGATAAATATGCTGAGAATTTCAGACATATTGACAGGCAGATGTACATACTTTATGTCACTTTGGCTATCATATTTCAAAATCTTTTTATTCTTTTCAACTTAACAGAATGTTAGAAAGAATACTGTAAAGAAACTTAGCACCCTATCTGTCTGTCCATCATCAGAATTGAAATTGAAATTGATCAAATCTAATGTGGGAGAAGTTAAATAAAGCTTGAGTTCAATAATGATGAGATCCAGCCAGGGACTGGAGAATAGCAATAGCAGATAGACTTTTATACCACTCCCTTGTGCTTTTAGCACTCTCTGAGCAGTTGATAATGTCAGCATATTGCCCCCAACAATTTTACTAACTTTGAAAGGTTTGGAAGTAGAGACAACCTTGAATTAGAATTAAACTCTAGGATATGGGCAGTTAGCTTGTAATACTGCATTCTAACCACTCCACCAGTAGTAAATCCAGGGGAAAAATTATTTAGTTCATCCAATAAGAAAGATAGGTGAATAAAGGCTCTGGATTTTTTTCTCTTATACCATTCTAAGGCTCTTCCTCTACATTCCCCAACAGGTGGCCCAGAATGGAGCTGCTCTGATAGGAAAGGAAACAATCCCAAAAGTTGTAGTCTGCATGCTTTCTGTAATTTGTTTCACCTATAAAATAATTTCAGAAGACAAAAATCACATGCTCTTATTTCTTCTTCCAACTTGATGATAGGATGGGAAGATAATTTATTTGCACCGTGGAATAGATGTGTTCTCAAAATTGTGGTTCTTTCCCCTTTTTTCTTGCTTGAGGATGGCAATGCAGGTCAGTGGAAAAATTTAGCCGGCTCTATCTGGATCACGCGATCCGACAGCTCAGGCGGTCATCATGTCCCATTTTTGACCCTCTGCACATTCCCCGAGTCTTCTGTGCATGTGCATGTGTGGAGAAGGCATGCACGCTCACATTTGTGAACCAGTAGCGAAGGTACGTGAATACCACCCCTGGTACAGGTAGTCCTCAGCTTATGACCAAGATATTGAGCCAACATTTCTGTTGCTAAGTGAAATATTTGTTAAGTAAATTTTGCTCTATTTTACAAACTTTCTTGCCACAGTTCTTAAGCGAATCACTGCAGTTGTTAAGTTGTTAAGTGAATCTGGCTTCCCCATTGACATTGCTTGTCAGAAGGTCACAAAAGGTGATAATATCACCCCAGGATATTACAATGGTCATAAATATGAATCAGTTGCCAAGTGTCTGAATTTTGATCACATGATCATGGGGATGCTGCAATGGTTGTGCGTAAAATGGTCATAAGTCACTTTTTTCAGTGCTGTTGTAACTTTAAACAGTCACTAAATGAACTGTTGTAATTCGATGACTACCTGTAATGATAATCATAATAACTACAAGGATAATGAGTAGTGAAAGGGACTGTTATTTTGACTCAAAAAGCTTAGACCTCATATATTGCCTGAATAGGCTGAAGATAGCTGTCTTTGGAGCTACAACATTATCTCATTCCAGTGGTGGGATTCAGCCAGTTCTTCACTTCAGAAGAACTGGTTGTAACTTTCTGAGCAGTTTGGCAAACTGGTTGTTGGAAGAAATCATTAGGGCAGAGAACTGGTTGTTCCTATCACTGTCTCGTTCCCCAGATCCAACTCCTTCACCCTTTTTGGACAAAAAATTCCTCATTTTTTAAAATAAATATTTCTCACATAGCAAAAATTCTCAGGGTTTGTTTTCTAGACATCCTCAAGGCACTGTTGGTAGTATTGTAAAAATTGGCTAATCTGCCCCACATTCTAGATGTATATCAGAATTTTGTTCTCAGTTACCCAAAAAAATATCCTGGAATTCAGCTTGACTCCTGATGAGTAGATGAACCACATGTAGAACTTTCTTGGCAAAGTGTATGGACTAGAGGTGGATTTCAGCAGGCTCTGACCAGTTCTGGAGAACCGGTAGCGGAAATTTTGAGTAGTTCGGAGAACCGGTAGTAAAAATTCTGACTGGCCCTGCCCCCTCTATTCTCTGCCTCCTGAGTCCCAGCTGATCGGGAGGAAATGGGAATTTTGCAGTAACCTTCCCCTGGATTGGAGAGGGAATGGAGATTTTACAGTATCCTTCCTCTGCCATGCCCATCAAGCCACACCCACCAAGCCATACCACGCCCACTAAGCCACACCCACAGAACCGGTAGTAAAAAAAATTTGAAACCCACCACTGGTATGGACATGACTCATTATTGCCTTTTTCCAGGTTTGCCTCTCCTTCTCTTCCTTGCCAATTTTCCTATAGCCCTGGAATTCTTTGGTGAACTTCCATCAAAATATCCTGTCTAATCCTTCCCTAAATCAGTCAGGTTCTTCCAATTGTTGAGGGGCAAACTAATCCAATCATTATATAACAAACCATGACATTTTTTATTTTGTTTTATTTTGTAGGGCAGTCAACATAATGAGAAAAACGTGATAAAAAAATAATTTGTCAACTTTGGGTAGATTAATGACCTGTGCTGATTAAGTGAATTAAGGGTTTCATTTATACTTATTTTTAGCAAATTAAAACAAAGCAAGGAGGTTAATTGAAAGATCCAGGGTTAATGCAGAGTTAACTCTAAACTGAGCACAGACCAATGGGGATTTTGAATATGAGATGTTTGCAACATGCTGTTAATAAGGCCAGCTTTCCTACTTTTTAATGAACTGTATTTCTTATTCTGTTTTCTTCTTTTTTTTATAGCTTGCTCTTCAGTGGAGTATTATTACTATTAATAATCTTTACTACAAAATCTAGAAACAGATTGTTAATTCATTCCTGTTGGAACTGATTCAATGTTATTTCTTATATTGAATTAATAGATCATGCCAGGGACACTTCTAAGTGAAGCCTATTCTTATCTTCAGTGATATCCTGATGCTATATTTTGCCTGTGGTCTTATCAGTTCCAAGACTGGAAACTTAATTTGAATAATCAGTCATATGCATAAGAACAGCAGGAGAATGTATTCAATATAATGCTTGGGATTTATTACATTTATTTACTATACATCCCATATAGGTCAAGTAATTTAGTTTTATCCCAAGTGGTTTTGGTTGCAATAAAAAGTAGCTTGGCCAGATTTATACAAAACCAGATCATTGCTAACCAGTTTTACACTGGAATTCTAGCTCAGCATTACCATCAAAGCACGATGACCCATGCTGTCAGAGTCCCACTTCTGCTCATGTTCATAATTGATGCATCCACAGCCTTTCTGTCAATTTTGGATGTAAACAGATCTATCTGTGTACAATTTATTTCTTCCTATCTGTTAGTAGAAGAACTTTTACCACTGCAGTTTAGAGAAACTTAAATTATATAAAATAGAGCCAATTCGGTCTAGTGGTTAAGGCACCAGGCTAGAAAGCAGTAGACTGTAAGTTCAAGTCCTGCCTTCACCATGAAAGCCAGCTGGGTGACTTTGGTACAATCACTCTCTCCGCCCAAGCCATCTCACAGGGTTGTTGTTGTAGTGTAAATAGGAGGAAGAAGGTGTGTTGGATATGTTCACAATGCCTTGTGTTATTTGTAAAAATAATAAAGGCAAGATACAATAAAATAAATAATAAAATAATAAAATAAAATAATAATAAACAAGCACAGAAGCAAGCAAGCTATTACATAATTCCTTCAGAGCATCCATCTGCTTTTTCAATATTCTAAAGTTTAGTTTTCTGGCTAGGGATATTTGCAGGATAACCTCCTACCGGCCTCCCACTGCCCAGTGCGCTCACATAGGCCTGCCGTCCTCCGGGTCCCGTCAGCTAGACAGTGTCGGCTGGCGGTCCCCAGGATGAGGGCATTCTCTGTGTCCACACCAACCCTCTGGAATGGGTTGCCCACCGAGCTCCGGATGGCCCCCGACCTCCGCACCTTCCGCGCTGACCTAAAGACATGGCTCTTCCACCAACTTCCCTGATCTGCCGTGGATTTTAATTTGGGTATTTGGGTATTTTTAATTTGGTTTTAATACTATTTAATTTTTACTTATTGTCGGGTTTTCTATTGTTGTGAGCTGCCCCAAGTCCTACGGGAGAAGGGCAGAATATAAATCTGACAAAATAAATAAATAAAATAAATACATACCATGTTTCCCTGAAAATAAGACCCGAAAATATTTTTTGAACCCTGAAATAAGCGCTTGCCCTTATTGCCATGTGCTTAAAAGTCCCATTGGGCTTATTTCAGGGGATGTCTTATTTTGGGGAAAACAGGGTATTACTTCTATCACATAAAAGTTTTTGTACAATAGACCATATCTATATCTAAGGTAGAAACCTCTCAAAATAAATATATACCTTAACTGCTTCACTCAAACTCAACTCACCAAAACATCTTCTGGATGAACTGATCCAACTGATCATAAGATTGGCTTAGTTTATAATTATTTTTTGTACAGATCAGTCATTTATACTTATATAGAGCAAACAGTCTTGATTCTAAAATTATTACTATGATGATGGATGGGAAAAGCATCATGTAGCAAATTACATAAAGCAACAACGTCTTTTTTTTCCTTAACTCCCCAGAAAAGCATCCACAAATATAATGTCTCATTTAATTTTAATATGAATGCATATATGACACTTCTTATCTAAACACATTAAGTCTTTTGTGCCCCCCAAATTCTGACAGGAAAGGCTGCAGGATGTATTTGGAAACTCATGAGATTTAGAAATGAATAATTCAGAGCAAGGATAGAAAAAAGGCAGATAAACTTTCATGCTGCAGATAAAGATGGAAAATGAGAATTCATTTTTCACTTATCAATAGGTTCCAAGTGGCATTAATTAATTGCTATTAAAGTTTACCAAATCTTCTAATGTCTTTTGCAGAGTCCCTTTAGCAAAAAGAATTTTGACTCTTTGTCCTTTATGCAGCAATTTTGAGAAAGGAAATATAAAAATATAATAATGTATCATAGAAAAGTGAGCCACCTTTCAAGTTGATTTATCGTACCCAGGTGTTTGCTTTTGCATACAATTTCTCCTTAGTGTAAAGCAACAATAGGCACATTTGTGTTAAAAATGGTCTCAACCTTAAATTAGTAAAATAATAGTCAAAATTCACTTAAAGCATCCTTTTTTGAAATTCACAAAGAAGCCCTATGGGAAGCAAATATATGGATAATGAAACTAAATGGGGTGAAACCTATTTCTGTACTAGAAGTCTGGTAATAGCACGTTCCAGTGCTTTAAATGGTCCACAGGAGCATTCAGAGCTTAAAGTCTGAAGAGCATGAGAAGACTTATGTAACTGCATTATTCATAAGCCAATGGGCCTGTTAATAAAAGTTCTATTACATACCTCACATTCATCCTCTGTTTAGAATGTGCTGGCTGCTGATCAGCCAAGTAGCTCTACATTCAGAAAGGAAGCAAGGAAACAGCTATTATAAGGCAGAAACATCCTTCTTTCGTGCTCAGAATTCATTCAGTCCCCCTCAATTTTTCCAGAGTTAATTTTCAATATGTCTATACAGCAACTCTTACAACTTTGTAAAAAGATAACATTTCTTTTGACAAAATAGTGGTCTTCTTATATATTACCTATGCAACTATAGATCTTTTAGATCAAATATACAGGAGAATCTTCCATGTTCAAAGATAAAATCTTAATAGATGAAAAATAGATTTTGTGTTTAACTCATGTCACACCTAAAAACAAGTAAGGTTTATTTTAAAGTAGTAAAAAAAAAAACTAAAAAAAAAAACTTAATCCTCATTCACTCTCTCCATATGACTAAATAATAGGGGTATCTGTCCGCGAGGGGAGGGAAGTGGAAGTCAAAAATAGTGATCCTGATGGTGGCTGCAGGTATATAATTGAGGTCCTATCTCTAATTATGTGGTCATAGCACTGGCTTGACTTTTTGATGTCCATGCAGATGCCATATCAACATACTTTATTCATACTGTATTCAATATTTGTATATTCTTGATTTCTGTCTCTCTCTTTCTCTCTCTTTTCATTCCCACTGCTTTCAAATTACTGTTATGCTTCTCATACATTTGTAATTCTCCATAATAAAATTAGGCAAAGTTGAGCAACTATTTCATTCTTTCAGTAAAGCTGTGATACTAATCATTTATCAAGTTACATACATTTATCTACTTGTTTTAATTGCTTGTCATTTATGTATAATTTGTAGTTGTTCATTTTTCTTGTCAAACACAACAACCTTGTTTTGGGATACACTGATTTTCAAATTAATTTTCTTCATTGCACCATGCAAGCTAATATTTGCATATGTCTCTTTTTTTTTTTCTTTATAATCCCTGTAATCCCTTGCATGGAATCAGGGCGACTGAATGGAACTGAGCGTTTACTGGCCAGATGCCTTTCCTGACACTTATGTGGAACTCACAGCAGGTATTTTCTCTTTGCATCCAGAGAAAAAAATATCCACCGCTACCTAGGATTGAATTCATAGCCTCCTGGTTATGAGGCAAGAGCTCTACCTCTAGGACACCATGCCATTCAATATTTGTATATGTCTATATACAGTAATAATTGTAAACAAAACATTAAAATTTTCAGCACTGGGAGTACAAGTTTTTGTTCCTAGAGCACTTTCTGATTACCATATTTTGAAATGGAAAAAAACAACAGCATAGTAAAGCTGTAAAGTAGGCCTAATGTAATGTTAAAAACAAAGAAAAAAATCCAATCCACCAAAAAAGTGAAAATCAAAATTATGGCTGGCACTACACACTTCATTCTTAGTTCTAGTTTTCCAAGCTTTCCTGAAATTCCAGCTACTATAAGTTTTCCTTTCTCCAATTTATAGTACAGTGTTTGCTTTACATATTTCAAGGAGTCCATCTCTCATCACCCATTGGGAGAATTTGTTAGGTGGCATAATGAGGCAAGTGATTATAGCAATTGCACCATGTGTATTACCCTAGAAGACAGACTGAGGCTTATACAAGTTAAATGAAAAATAATGCCTCTGTTATCACTAACAAATGGCAGTACTGTTGGATTAGAAATGACAAACAAACAAATAACATGCAACTTTGTCATGTTACTTGGCATCTCTTCTTTCATTTTAGTTGACAAGAAATTGCTATGAGGAAAAAGTTGGTTGCTGTTCATGAAATGGAAGCCTGCAGTGAATACTTGTCAGTGCTGATACACCATGATTGAAGTTTTGACTGCCAAAGAAGTCGACTGAAATTCACCACCAAGGATAAATTGTTTATGGTGATGATTGCATCCGGGCTCACCTAGAGGAAAATTGCTTTTAGATACAGTTCAAATCTTTAATACCAATATCAAAACGAAGTTTGAACTAAATAAGTGTGCAACACCATCAAGTAAAATGGAATACTTACTTTACATGGGATTGAACTTTACAATGGCACTAAAATCAAAGCATTGACATTGCCTTAGGGAGTTTGGGATGTTTTAGAAGCAATCAATATGTTGCAGGCCCAAATGAAGAGGTAGTCAATAACAAATATATAAAAGGAGCTAGATACATTTTAAAATTGAATATAAATGGTGATAAGAGCTGTGGTTCCGCAGTGGTTAGAATGCAGAATTGCAGGCTAATTCTGCTGGCTGCCAGAAATTTGGCAGTTTGATTCTCACTGGCTCAAGGTTGACTCAGCCTTCCATCCTTCCAAAGTCATTAAAATGAGAACCCAGATTTTTCGGGGCAATAGGCTGACTCTGTACACCTGCTAGAGAGGGCTGTAAAGAACTGTGAAGTGGTATATAAGTGAAAGTGCTATTGCTATAATACAATTAGAATAATTAATACTTGTATGTTTATGACACTATACAAAAATAGATATAGATTGCTTGTATTGATTTGTTGCAAGTGAAGCAGGTTTTTGCTTCTCTTAAGAAACATCCAGCATTGTAAACATGGTATCATCATTTTTTCTAAAATGCCATTTTGAATTTATGTAGCAATAAGGAATGTCATGTAAAATGTCTTAGGAAGACCTTCTCTCCAGAGAATCTACATTTATGTAAAGGTAGTTCATTTTTATGGTTGACATTACCACTCTTTTAGTGTTTGCAGGGCCCTCTGTTGCAGAATTCAGTACAATATTCTTGTATTTTTATTCCTGTTGGAAGAAGGCCATAAAAATCAAAGAAACCTATGCTCTAAGCCATTTTTAACATAACTATATCTTTTGTCTTGTTGCAAAAAAATTCCCCTAAGAAAATCAAACATGCTGCGGCAATAGCAGAAGGATCATAGTTCTAAGATCCCTTGTGACTGAATCATTCTTAAAAAGTCTTCTGCCTGGCATTTTGATAAACGTAATGCATGGCATATATCAGAATTGGTTTTACCAACCTAATACAATATATCAATGCACAGCAAGGATCCTGTAATGTGTTCCTGTAAAATACATCAAATAAGAATACCTATATTTCAAATATACTCCCAGAAATCTTTCAGATCAGTACTTGAGTATTATTATATATGCACATGCATACACACATATGCCATACAAACCCAGATACACACATACACACACACACACATATGCATATACAGAGAAGGGGGCGTGTAGTGACTAAGATCCTAGATTAATAGTAGTGACATACAGTACAGGTTCAAGTCATGCCTCAGACACAGAAGCCAGCTGAGTGATTTTGGGACAGGGACATTCTTTCAGCCTAATCATTTTCAGATTCTGTGACAATTTGGCTGATAAATCCCCTTATAAGAACTAGGCAAGCACAGTGCAAAAACAAGCAGATCTTTCAACTATATAGTACAAATTCCAACAACAAACATGTATATATGTTTGAGCACCCACATATCTTTTTTTTAATGTTTTATTTGTTTTTTTAAAAATTTGATTTATATGCCACCCTTCTCCGGAGACTCAGGGCGGCTTACAATACGTTAAGCAATAGCCTTCATACTTTTGTATATTTTTACAAAGTCAGCTTATTTTATTTATATAACATTCAATTTTCATCAAACAGTGTGTGCACTCACATATATTTTGCAGGTCATAATCAGGGATGCACAGAGCTGAATGTTCTGGCTTATATATATATCACATCATGTGTAGCTGCTTAACATTTTCCAGAAAATGAATGTCTGTTGGGGAGGAAGAGTCAAAAGCTTGATGCCTTGATCACACAAAATCCTGCCCACTTTGTTACATGTCCTGGCTGCTCGGATTCTCCAGCACTTGCCAAGGCCTATATTCCAAAAGCATCCTATTGACAGTCCTTGACCTTGAGACTGACTTCACCAATGCAACAGCTCTCTGAAAGCTGAATAGAACAGAGTCAATTTGGAGAGGCAAGGCAGAAATAAGCAAAAGACAGGTTGAATTTGAAAATGGGTTGGACCAGGCTAGAGACTGTCAAGAAGAAGTACTCCCCCCCTCCCCCGCAATCCTTCCAATTTGTTATGAATTCCTCTGCTAAAGAGGAAAACCTAACTGACTATTTGCCTACAGCTTAGGAGACAACAGGTCATCAGCCATTTGGGAGTTATTAGTCAGACTCAGAATGTGTAGCTGCTGTTTTAGGTAGCAAAAAAGTCAGAGTGTAAACTTATGAGAATGCAAGCTCTAAATCATGCCATCAGCTAAAGAAATTTGCACAACTTAATAAAATGAGGAACCATTTAACTTCTCTAGTCAGGGAAAGCTGGGACTCTGGCTATATAAAGGTATTTTCCAAACACTCTCTCCTGATTCAAAATAACTCTTCAATACTGGCCTGCATTCTTCTTTTACTTTTACCCAGCTCCTTTACCCTACAAAAATTGCCACACAATGTTGCAAATGCATTCAGCTATAAATGATCAGACTTCAACAAACTTACCCTTTACATTAAAGGTACGATATTCTTTTTGTCTGTTTCATAACACCTTAGTTCTAGCATTATCAGCTAAATGATATATAAACAAACTAATAAAGCAACTGGAAACATGCTAATTGCCTCCTGCTCAAGGCATCCTTACGGGAGAAGGAATTGGGTAGTGGCAATGAATGTTCATAATTGCTCCATTCTGAATTTTCCCCCTCCCTCCTACTCATACAACCCTGAAGAAGAAATGAGGAGCCTGTCAGTAGATACATTTGGATAAGCAAGTGCAATGCAACAATACAATAGAAACACAGAGACAAATATGCAAGATATTACTTCAGAATAGAGAAGAAAATAGAAACATTGGCTAGGACCAACACTGATAAAATTTTGAAAGCATTCTAGAAGCCATGCTCTGCACTTTTTATTTTTATTTTTATTTTTTACAAAAAACAGTCTATAGTTTTAATCTCCAATGACACTGATCATATTCTTTTCAGATCAGAAAGATTTGTTTCACTCCCTTTCCTACATATTCAGCTCTTGGGGTTGCAAAATCAATTAGTAATTAAAAAGTTACATCTTGGGGAATGCTCAGTTTTTTCTGATTACAACAAAAAATAATCTGTAGGAAAGCAATCTCCTTCATATTTTTTTGTTCATTTTGTACATTCATTTTTTACTCCCTTCAGACCTTTTTAATCAAGTGCGCTTATTTTCAGTGGAACTCTAATAATTTATATACAAAAGACACACAAATAACATTTCTTCTGTAATCACACTCTAGATACACCTCCTCCCAACCAAGGCCTCCTTGACTTTTAGATTGTTTCTATTTTGTTATTTTCATTTTACAAAAGGAATCTTTAAAAGCCTCTTTGTAATATCCATGTACCATCTGAACATTTCAACTGTACAGCTTTCCTTCCAGTTTACTTACAAATTTATGGCCGACTGTCTTGCTGATTTATAGTATAGTAGAAAAATTAATAATTCCATCTCAATGAAGCCCAGAAAAGGAATAATTACATCACATACACAATAGGGATAATAAACAATTATTATTTTGTCATATTTTATCAGATGACTGAAAACTATTGAAATTTTATTGAACAAGTTTAAGAGAAATAAGCCATGCTTTTGAGTCCCAGCTGAGTATAATGCTAAATTGTGGTCTCAAATCCTGTTACAATAAAAGTTATTTACAACTGAAAAAACATATGAAAGGCCAGTCAGGATATTCAATTTATGGGACACGAGTAGATATAGTTGCAATTTTAAAATGTACAAAGTTCTTTCTGTTGACAAATTTAATTGGAATTTTCAGGAGAAAGAATAACAGTTAATATGGCATTATGGTTAAGATGTTGGATGGGAGTAGGAAGACATAAGTACAACTCTACCCTCAGCCATAGAAGCACACTCTAACTTTAGTTCAGTCAATCAGTCTCAGCCCAATCTACCTCACAGAACTGGCGGTAAAAATACCCAACTCCAAGTTATCCCCAAGAATCAAGAATGTTTTAAATGTATAGAAAAGTTTATATTATAAACTGTGAGGCATAATAAAGACCCATAGTAGTGACCCATAGTAGTGATCCATAGACACAGTAGTTAGAATAAAGTATTGCAGGCTAATTCTGCTGACTGCTGACTGCCAGCAGTTCGGCAGTTCGAATCTCACCGGCTCAAGGTTGACTCAGCCTTCCATCCTTCTGAGGTCGGTAAAATGAGGAGCCAGACTGTTGGGGGCAAATATGCTGATTCTGTAAACCACTTAGAGAGAACTGTAAAGCACTGTGAAGTGGTATATAAGTCTGGACTATTGTAACGCTCTCTACATGGGGCTCCCCTTGAGGAGCACCTGGAGGCTTCAACTGGTCCAGAATGCAGCCGCGCGAGTGGTTATGGGAGCGACTCATTGCTCCCGGGTAACACCTCTCTTGTGCTGCACTGGCTCCCAGTGGTTTTCCGGGTGCTTGTCACCATCTTCAAAGCGCTCCATGGCTTAGGACCGGGATACCTACAGGACCGCCTTCTACCACCGAATGCCTCCCACCGTCTGATACGCTCTCACAGAGAGGGCCTCCTCAGGGTGCTATCGGCCAAGCAATGTCGGTTGCGACCCCCCAGGGGGAGAGCCTTCTCTGTGGGGGCTCCTGCCCTATGGAATGAGCTGCCCCTGGATATAAGAAGAATCCCTGACCTCTGTGCCTTCCGTCATGCTCTGAAGACTCTATTGTTCAATCAAGCCGGCCTGACTGAATAAATTAATGTTAATGGGTTTTAAATTGGTTTTAAAGGGGTTTTAGTTAAGGGTTTTTAAAAATGGCCAAATTGCTTTAATTATTTTAACGGTTTTTAATTTTTGTGATGGGTTTGTTTTAATATGGCTGTATACTGCCCTGAGTCCTACGGGAGAAGGGCGGTATAGAAATGTAATTAAATAAATAAAATAAATAAGTCTAAGTGCTATTGCTATAATAAGGGTATGTAAATTTTACTAATACTTATTTAATATAATTTACATTAATTAGTATGAGAGTCACCTAAGATTAAATAGGGCATATTAAATGTTGTCCAATAAAACCACTATATTGGTCATGCACAATTACATGTTTTTTTCCTGAGAAGTTCCATGCATAATAGAAAATAAAATACCTGAAAATGCAAACAAAATATAAAGCTGGAGCAAAGGTAACCTACAATAAAAACACTCCACTGACATACACATACAGGGGATTGTATCTAGCAGCGAAACTGCCTCGATACAAAAATGAATGTATCTGAGGCTTCAGATCCATTTTTCCCCTCCTTCCTGACAAGCTGTTTTGCAAGGTTGGGGGTTCCCTCTAGCAACAAAACTATAGTTAGAAGCGGGTGAAAAGGATCTGCAAAATATATATGTATTTTTAAGCTGTTGGGAGCCACAATATTTCTACTAAGGTTCTAACTTGGTGAAAGATGGATTGGTTTCTTAGGCTAGCATATTACACATATCTTCCCACTGAAATTCAGAAGATTAACCAGCAAATAATTGAGTTTTGATTGGAATATCTTTCATGTGAGAACTGATCAGGATTATTCAAACATTTGGCATA